GGACACGACTAGAAATCAGTGGTTAAGTTGTATTTACAACACTGTTCCAGAACACTTCAACCCAAATATTCAGATGTGTGCAGCACATTTTATGGAGGACTGTTTCCTGATCCTGGGAGAGTAGACTACAATGCCGGCAGTTATTTAAATTTATTTTATTTATGTATTTAGCAGACGCTTTTATCCAAAGCGACTTACAGTGCATTCAGGCTATACATACTGATAAAAAAAATGTGTGTTCTGACTGTTCTGACTCAAAGACTGTAAGTATGTTTTTTATATTTAAAGAGTTTTTATATTTTAAGCAAGTTTTTTGGGCAGTGTAGAGTAGCACTTGTTGTTTGTCATTTCTCCGATCACAAATGCAGACATGGTTTTATGTTTAGGCGGCGCGATGCAATGCTTAAAAAGACAGTAAGTCATTATAATCAGTAATTATGCCCCCACTGGATGCAACAAATGCCTCGTTTATAATGGGTTTTCATGTGTTTGTCTCGTCGCTCCGGCCGGACAGGGCATCACAGTATGGTGAGGGGCGTAACATTTCCGTCACACGCTTGAGGTATTCGGCCAATCACAACGCACTGGATAGCTGGCCAATCACAGCACACCTCGCTTTCAGACCGATGAGCTTTGTAAAAATCAACTCGTTTCAGAAAGGCTGGGCATAGAGGAGAAACAATAATGTACAGTATGTGGAAAATAATGTGTTTTGAACCTTAAACCACATAAACACATTTCATTACACCAAATACACAGAATATGACCCCTTTAATAAATAACAAAATGAAAGGTGTAGAGTCAGACTGTAGCGTGTGCGGTTCGTTCACTATCAAGGGACTGAAGAGAGTCTAATTAAGCACTGAATGGGAGACTTCAGTCCACAGAGGGTTTCACTTCCAGAACACAAACCTTCATAGACCCCCGAGCGGATCTAATTAAGAGACAAACGCATGTTTAACACACACACACACACCTCTGACCCCAGGAAAGTGTCCGCAGAAGGGGGCCTTCACTCCGTCACAGTCCAGCGACTCGATTGGACGGTTAAACGTGCATCACAACAGGCAGCATCCGGCCAATCAGAGCACAGAGTGACAGACAACTCAAGATGCTTTTTATAGCATTTAACCTTAAAAAGAGCTCATCTTCTCACACACACACACACACAAAGAGAGAGAGAGAGAGAGAGAGATTGAAAGTGAAATTTACATTTTTAAAATGATTTTCTATTAATTATTTCATTATTATAAAAATGTAATAACTTTGCCTATTTGCGAACTACTAAATAATGCTAAGAAAAAATAATTTATTTATTTGTTCGTTTAAAATGTTGCAGGTTTGTGTCTCCATGGTCTCAACAGTCAATGGTGATTATTTGTAACTTTACTTTTTCAAGCTTTATAAATAACATTCATTGATTTTATTAAGAACCTAAACAAGAAAAAAATGCATAGATAAATAAACAAAAAGAATGAAAGAATAAAAAAGTAAAAAATAAATGCAGAAAAAAAAGGAAAATAAGGGGAAAGAGTAATACAAAAATAATTTCAGGAAAAAATATTTTTAAAAAATGTATTGTATAAATTAAATGTATAGTGTCGAAATTGTTATATATATTGCTATACAAAAATGATAATACAATAGTTTCAACCTTCATATACTAAAATATATTTCAGGGGCAAGATATATAATGATCTTATATATGCATATTAATACTAATATATATATATATATATATATATATTAGTATTATGCATATATAACAACATTATTAACACGCATATATACACACATACATATATATAGTAGTTCATTAAATTATTTATTAATTTCTTTCATTTTTGGAACATTGTTGTGAAGTATGTTCCTTGATTTTTCTTCAAATGTGACATAAGTGAATCGGTTTTCTTGCATCGAAAAATATGGAGGGCAAAATATAATTTATATATAAAAAAAATATATATTTTGTAAAAATATTTTTTTTAAATATCCAAAAATATATTTGTATAAATTTCGCCAAATTTTGAAAATGCATAATTTTTAAATACATAAAAACAGATTTGAAACCACATTTTTTCTGAAGTGTAGGAACGGAGGATGAAACTGAAAAACAGTGCGACACTTGTGTTTGAAATGGAGTCCACGAGATGAATCATAATCAGACTGTAAGCGGCTGTTGGCAAATGGAGCATCAGAGCGTTACATAAACGACTCCCGGAGAGATGCTTTCAATCATCAACCAGAAACAAAACCGCAGAAAACACACCAGCTGAACTCACTGCAGTCGCACAACCGCATGGACCACAGAATGCGGTTGCTAAGGTGTTTTCAGTGCGTTGCTATGGTGTTCAAACCACAGAGAACACTATAGCAACATGATAACATTTCAAAGACTTTAGATGTTTTCTTAAGCAACGAAAATATTTTAAAATATATATTTTTAAATAGATTTCTTGATCAAAACATTTACATAATTTTTTTTTTTTTTTACACCAATATATGTTTTGCATATTTTTGAGAAAAAGGAATGAATTAT